GGACCACGCAGGGACTCAGGCTTCCAGCAGTGGGATGGCAGCTCGGGAGGGTATGAGGAAGACAGCGACGGGACCCGGCGTGTGTTCGGAAAGGCCTGTAGAAGCATGTTGGGGGAGGCGGGGAAGCTGGCTGGCAGGCTACTGCACCTGTCCCAGCAAGTGAGCATGGTTGCCTAGCCTGGGCTTGGCCATGGAGGGGTCCCTCAGGCTCTGCCGACAGACAGAATGCCGAACATGATGCTGAGATTTGGAGACTTTTCCCGAGATGAGGAGACTTCAGAAGGATCAGGGTGGGCCCAGAGAGGTGGAAGGACATAGACGTGGGGTGCCGGAAGCTGTGTTCTCACAGTCTGAGTTCAGCCTGGGGCTGCATGTGCAGGTGCTGGGTGCGTCCCTGGTCTGAGCCTGGCGTGCTCCAGGTCAGAGGATGGGGGGGGGGGTGGTGGCCCTCCTGTCAGTCAGTGGGGAGGGCTCTGGGCAAGCAGACCCCAGACGGAGCCGATGCCCTCCCCTTTGTGGCTTTTCTCAGGGGATGTGGGAGCTCGGCATCACCCGCAAGGGCTGGAGGGCACAGGGAGCAGAGGTCATAGGTCCCTGTGACCCCTGCCACCCTCCCTGACCAGGCAGCAGCTTTTGGAGTGACGGTCAAGGGCCATGCCCATAGGAAGGAGGCACAAGCATGGCATTCTATGGGGAGAGAGAACTCAGAAGTCCTGGGGTTGGGGGGTGCAGGACAACCTCCTGTAATCTGCTCAGCAGCCCTGCGGCCCAGGGTGGGGGGTCACCCCTCTCAGACCGAGCCCTTCCTGTGTCCAGCAGGGCCCAAGGACACCTTGGTGTGGCTAGGCTCTTTCATGGGGTGGGCACACACACTTCTATCCACCAATCAGAGTTCACTCCTCAGACCCCATGTCCCACCCTGTGCTGGGGGCATCTAGTGAGCTCTGTATGTTTGGGAGGGATGGCAGGGTGACACCTGCCCACCCATGAGACTGTGAGGTGTGGCTGGGCCTCGGGGGCCCTGGCCAGGGGAGGTGGGCCTCTGTCCTGCGCTCTCCAGCACAGGGCTCCCTCCTGGCCTGGTCAGAATGGGGACTGGGACAGTGGCACCGGGGACCCCTCCCCTGAGCCCCTCCTAGACCTGCCCCCAGCTGTGTCTCCAGGGACCTGAGGCACCACTGGACCTCAGCTGCATCACCCTCAGCTGAGCCCGTCTGATGGGCTCAGATGGCAGCCACACGGCACCCCCCATGCCCCAGCCCTTCACTCCCGCATCTCCCTGGTGTCTGTGAAGTAGAGGGGAGCCAGGGAGAACCAGAGGCCTGCAGGAGGGATGAGGGGGCAGGTAGAGGGTGAAGGGAAGGCAGAGCCAGTATGCAGACGTGCGGGGCGATCACAGCCACGTCACTGTGCACGTCCCCAGTGTGCGTGCCAGGGTGAGCTAGCTGGGGCTCTGGGCTCCTGTGTGCCCAGCCCTGAGCCTAGAACCCTCCAACTCCCTTCAGCCCAGGTGGGTCCAGGGCAGTCTGCAAATAGGAGGGCCCAGGTGACCTTTGCCGGGGACCCCGCAGAGGGCTCTGGGATGTCCCGGGAGGAGGTTCCACCCCACCTGCAGACGCCAGGGCACCACCTGCGGCCTCTCGGGGCCGGGGGCTCCCTCCCCTCGAGCCCCAGGCCTCTGTGGGCCCCCCTTTTGCCCGTCTCCCACCGGAAGAGCCAGGGCCACTGGCAGGTCGAGAGCCGGGATCAAGGCTGAACAGGTCCTGCAAAAATCTCCCTTGAAAGACTCTTTTTCAAGATTTTCTTTTGAAAACAAATTCATAACCACATCACACAGGAACCCCGTCGCCTCGGGTTTGATCACCGGCCGCCCGGGGTCCTCTCGTAGCTGTTACTCTAATTGCTTTTTTTCCCTTGGAGGGCCGCGTGCGTCGTCTGTGGTTATTAATCTGGTGAGTCGAGGCGAGGAACAAGGGCCCTTTGTCGGCCTTGTCCTTTCAGCCTCTAGCAGATTGCAAGGAACCATGAGGTCCAAGATCCCCAAAACTGATCTGCCCCCACGGCTCTGGGGAGTGCCGTCGCAGTCCCGTGCGGGGCTGCCTTCCCCTGGGCACCCGCCAGGTGGTCGCACCTCTCTGCAGCTGGGGTTTGGCCACTGAGCACCCCCACCCTACGTGTGAGTGGGAGAAAGGCACACACTGTGCTCAAGCAGAGAAGGGAGGGGGACAAGGCCACCTCGGGGGCCACCTCTCTGAGAAGTGACGGAGCGGGGCCTGAAGCCAACGGGAGCTACCTGCCCATCACCCTGGCTCGGGCCCTCCTGAGCCCGCAGGCCAGGGAGAAGGAGGGAGGCCCCTGCCAAGGAGCTGCTGCATGGGTCCTGGGACCACCCTGAGGCCCTGCCCCGGAGCAGAAGAGTGTCTGACTACATCAGCCCGGGGGCTGGGGGCTGGGGGGGCTGGGCAATCACAGCAAATATGGGGTACTCAGTGCCAGCACCTGAGCCCAAGGCAGCCCTGGGGGGTGGGGGGGGCACCAAGTTGGGCCACCAAGCTCCAGGAGGGGGCCTAGCTCTGCAGGGAGCGGGGGAGAGGCTGGGAGGGCTCTGGAAGGCTTGACCACCCCCCGCCCCCGGCATTCACTGCACCCCTGCCTGCCCCAGTATGGCCTGCAGGACAGTGCCCGGTGGCAGGACGGGCCGAGCGCCTCCTCCGGCCGCGCCCAGCCGCCCCCACCCACCCCTGCATCCCAACCACACTTCTGTTTCCTTTTTGTCCAAGAACACCCTGTAAAGGCTTCCATACCCACTTACACATCTGGGGGCTCCAACAGATGTTCGAGTGCCGTAGAGTGAAAATTTATGAAACCACAAATTCTCTTCTGTAATGTATTTGGGGCTCTAATTAATGCCAAACCAATTGATACCCGAGCTGGGGCCTGTACAGTTAAATGACACTGAGCCATGCCTGGACGTGCCTCCTTCAAAGCCATTCGTGTGCAGGGCCTGGGGAGCGCAGGTGACCTCCCGGGGGCCTCCCAGGGTGCCCGCAGGTAGTAGAACTAAGGGGTCCCAGGGGATCTCGGGCCAGGAAGGGGGGTGGGGTTTAGGTGTGACCGCAGACAAGTCCGTCCACCCCATGTCCCCTCCTGCCTTGCTCACTGTGAGTGTCCGCCCAGCCTTCTGAGCTCAGCTTGGACCCCCCAACACACACCCTCACCCCCTCCCAGGTCTGGCTGCATCAGCCTTGACCCCTCCCGGACTGACAAGCGTGTCTTCCCAGCATGGAAGCCCAGGGTTGGGGCTTGCAGGGGTGAAATGGGAGAGGCAGGGGTCCCAGCCGGTGACCATGCGCAAGGCCCTTCTCCTCCTCGGACCTCAGGGTCTGTGTCTGTGGGTTGGAGTGTAGGTCTCAGTTTGGGGGCTAGGAGAGCTGAGCAGCCCCAGGCCCCACCCCAGCCGAACCAGAGAAGCCCTGCACCCCTTCCCTTGATCGCCTGGGCTCCAGCATCAGATTTATCTGGGAAAATAGAGGATCAAGCCCCTTGGGCCCCGGGTGCTGGGGCCTCAGACGAGCAGCTGTCCCAGGGGGCCTGAGATAGGTAGTTCTCGGAGCCGGGGCCACCAGCCGGAGGCAGAGACCACACCGGCCTCAGCCCTGCACAGCTGAGGAGATGGGTCCCCTGGGTTGGAGGAGGGCACAGCCCCCCTCCCAGACAGCCCTTCCAAAAGGGGGAGGGCTGCGGACGGGGAATCCTCCTGGCCCCCATCCTGCCCTGCCTGGCACAGGGGCTCGGGGTAAGGGCCTCCTCTGGCTCCTCAGGAGAGACCCCTCTTTTCCTCTTGTGCCTGCCAGCCTCCCTCCTCGCCCCTCCCCTGCAGTTCAGCGTCTGTGGTGGGCCGGAGGGTTGTTGGCTGCCATACCCGCCTCTGGAGCCGGCCGCCCTGGGGACCCGGCTCCTCCAGCCTTCATGGGGTTTAGGGCCACTTCACCCAACAGCAGGTTCCCCAGGGCAGTGCAGCCAGCACCCAGCTTTGCCTGGTCCCAGTGAAGGGGTGCTGCGGCCAGCGGTGGGCCCAGGGGTGTCCCGGGGAGCAGGCTGGCCCCGGGCAGCCCCGGACAGAGCCCTCAGGTAGAACCGGCCCCTCTCCGTCCCGCACCGTTCCGTTCCCAGTCCTCCAGGTGCTCCAGGCACCCACAGCAGCAGCAGGAGGGCCTGCTTTGTTCTCTGACGCACGCCGTGAAGGAGTCACCCCCAAGGCCCTGCAACCCTGGCTCATGCCTGGACCCCACAAGCTCACGGCTCGCTGGCTCCACACCCTCTGCTGGCCTACTCCCTGCGGTGGGGAGGGGGGGGGCCTCGCTCGACAGCGCCTGACCCCACCGGGCCGCCCCACACTGCCCCGGGCTGCCTTCAGCCCCCGCACTCCTAGCCCCTGGCAGGCGCTGTGGGGGACGCACCCACTGGCCCCAGCCCATGCTGCCCCCGCGTTTGCTTCCAGTCTCCCAGGGTGAACCCGTCTGTTCCCCATTGGCAGCCCCAGAGCTCAGAGCAGGTCAGGCTTCTGATAAAAGGGGGTTGGGCCACGTGGCCAGAAAGAGCGCCCCGGCCTGACCCCTGGGGAATCGGTGCAGATGGGGTCCTGATTGGGTGGGGACTCACTGGGAAGACAGTGATGCTGCTGGGAGGGGGGCAGAGGGGCAGGCGGAAGACGGACCCCACCCTGTGACCCCTGAGCCCTTCCCAGGAGGAATCACCTGGTCCACCTACAGGAGAAAGGGGGGTGGTCTCTGCAAATGCAGACACACACAGGGGGCCGCGCACACGTACACACATTCCCCGCACACCCAGGCCTGTGCACGGCTCACGTGTGCAGGGACCCTCGGGCCTGCTCCCTGGGCACCTGCCCTGCCCCAGCCTTCGCCGAGCCCAGGCCCCGAGGCCATCTGCACACCTGGGCTTCTCCCACTCAAGACTCACCTCTGCTCCTGTCTCCACAGGTGACACAGCTGGACCAGAGGCTGGTGCTCATCACAGACCTGCTTCACCAGCTTCTCTCCCTGCACCAGGGCGGCCCCCCAGGCGGCCGGCCCCCCAGCGAGGGGGGTGCCCAGGCTCTGCAGCCTTGCAGCACCATCAGCCCCGAGCTCTTCCTGCCCAGCAACACCCTGCCCACCTATGAGCAGCTGACTGTGCCCCGCAGGGGCCCCGACGAGGGGTCCTGATGGGGGCTTGGAGCCCCAGGCCTGCGAGGGCAGGGCCGGAGGAGCTGTTCAGCCTGGCCCACCTCCCACCCAGCAGGGGCACCCCACCCCACAGGTCACCGGCATCTCCTCGAAGGCCCAAGAGAGCAGCCCCTCCCTTCCAGGCCCCGGACCCCCCATGGGCCACGCCGTCCTGAGAGCCTGCACTTCGAGGAGTCACCGAGGCCACCCTTCCAGCCAACGGGTACTAGAACTTGGCTGGGTTTGGGGGCCCCTCTCAGCTCTGAGACCATGGCCCCCCACATCATTTGTATGCCAGTTGGGACACAGTGGCAGGGCTCAGTCTAGACCCCCGGGGGGCCGGGCATCCTAGGCACTTGATCCAGCCCACGTATGGTCAAGAAACAGCACAGGTGTGTGCAGGCCCACCCTGGTAGGCCCAGGGGACTTCCTGGGGGGGGGGACAGAGGGACGGTCAGGACAGGGTCCACGGGTACCCCACCCTCAAACTCGAACCCAGGACCCAGGGAGGAGGCAGGCAGGGCAGGGCTGGCCCAGCCCGTGCCAAACCGAGGATGCCCATGATCAAGGCCTAGTGGCCCCGCTCAGAGGGCCCCAGGCCTGGGCCGTGCTCTCCACCCGACAGAGACACTGGCTCAGAGGGCCAGGGCTGTGACGGAGGGGACCCTGAGGCTACAGCGTCCGGCAGGAGGGACCGGCCCACCACGGTGCCCGGAGTGCTCCATGGGGGTGGACTGTCCCCCACTGTGGACCGGCAGCTTCTCCTGCCCATCCCCTGCCCTGCGCGCGGCCCCCACCTCAGCTCCCCACCAGGTCTGAGCAGCTAGAAAGACACACAGAACCGCCCCATCCCCGGCCAGGGGTGGGGTGGGCATAAGGGTGTCACAATCCCTGCACAAGACAGGGGCTCCTCCTGGGCGTCACATCTCACGGAAATCAGAATAATTTGTGGTGATTTGGAATCTGTTTTAATGAGCTTCACAGTGTGATTTTGATTCTTAATTGTGGCGCTTTTCCTAATAAACGTGGAGTCATGGAGCTGGTCTCGGGCCTGCCCTTGCCTTCATTCCTGAGGGAGCAGTCCATCTTTGGGACAACCCGTCCCCCTGCGGAGCCAGTCCCAGCTTTCAACCCTCCGGAGCACCCTCGTCGCCGTCTGCACTGGCCCAGGGAAGGGGAAGAGCCCCGGAGCCCCCGGCTCTCTGGGAGGAGCCCTCCCCGCTGGCCCCAGGGACCCAGAAGCACCTTGAGGCCAGGCTGTTACTGCCCCAGCCCTGTAGCCAGCACCGAGCTCAGCTCTGCCCACAAGAGCTGATCAGAGGGAAAGAACACAGCCAGAAACAGGGCCTGCCCTCCAGGCTCTGCTTCTGTTGGCACCTTTGCTGGAATGTTCTTCCTGCCCTCACCCCTCACCACTACTGAAGTCACTTCTGTGGTCTGTGGCCCAGCTCAAAGCCCCTCCTGAGAAGCAGCCCCCTCCAGGCCTTGGGACCCCTCGAGGGGATTGGGCTGACGGGCGAGGTTCTTGTCCCCAGATGCGCATCGGGGGTAGAGCTCCAGGACCCTGTCCTCCAGGCCCACGTCCCTCACACCAGCTCCACACTCACTTCTTGGGCCCCAGGGCTTGGTGGAGAGAGGACAGGGCCCCGCCCTCCCCTGCCGCCTACCCATGGGCATCTGGGCCCCCCACCTCCTCCCGAGGCCAGCTACCTTCCCTTCCTGCCTGGTAGACGGGACCCCCACGGCCTCCTTAGGGGCAGGCGTCCAGGTGGCTGCTGAATAGGAACTCATTTCACAGAGGAGGGGGCCAGGCTTCAGAGAGCTCACTGAGGCCATGGATCCAGTCAAAGCCTCCAGCCCAGGTTGGCATGCCTCCTGATCAGGGCTGTTGCGGTCCCGGGGCTTCCCCCTGGGGCAGATCTGACCACCTGATGTGGTCAAGATGTGGTCACTGCCCATCTCCCAGCAGCCCCTGAGCCCCTGGGGAAGGCGGGCACCTTGCCAGGACCAGGCCTGGGGGTGCTGGGGTGTGGTGCTGGGGGGTAACCACCTCAGAGGCACACTCTGTCCTCTCCATCTGTCCCTCCCAGGCCAGGCCCCTCCTTGACCAAGGACCCCGGAGCTCTACCGTGGCGGTGGGGCATGTCCAGGCCCACCCTCCAGGATCTTTAAGGATCCCTATGGGGGTGGGTGCAGGGAGTGACTAGGGCTCCAGAGCGCCCACACAGACATGCCTGCCCCCCTCCAGGCCTGGAGCTCCCTTGGTCCTGCCCAGCTTCAAGCAGTCTGGAGGCACATGCCAGGGGAGAGCCAGCCCGCCCTCACCCTGCCCCGTGGGCGCCCCCGGCACTCAGCGTGGCCCCCCAGCCAAGTTCTCCCCTTCAGCTCACAGATGCGGGCACGCTCGGCCGGGGTGGGGGCGGGTAAGCCTGCTACACCCGCCTGACTGCTCCTCGGTCCTCCGGGACTGCTTACCCCCCTGCTCCCCTTCCAGAGCCCACCTGCGTCCCCAGGCCGTAAGGGCTGGGGGCGGCTGGCATTTAGAGGACGGGGCTGTCCCAAGGCTACTAGAAGCACCTGGCAGCCCGTGTCAGGCAGGCAACCCAGGTTCCCGATGGAGTGGGAAGGGAGGGCCTTGGGTTCTGCTCTGCTGAGCCCCACTGGGTCGGTGCCCCCCCAGGGGCTCCTGCCGTGGGGCCTGGATATCTGGCCTGGGCGCGGGGGGGGGGGGGGGGGGGGGGGGGGGGGGAGCAGGAGGGGCGGCGCAGAGCCTGGGGCCTCCCCCGCCTGCACCCACCAGGGGAGGGACAGGGGCAACAATTACTGGAAAGGCAAAAGCTGTTGTTTCCTTGTTGGGTAAATATTTGTGGAAACCCCAGGAAGCGGCTGGCGGGAGAACAGGGCCCTCCGCGGTGGCGCCCCAGCCCCCCGGCCCCCCGGCCCTCGGTGTGCCGGGCACGGGGCCGCCCATCTGGGCAGGGCATGGCCCCTGCACCCAGCCCGGCTTTGTTTCCCGTATTATCGACTGCACACAAAGTCCACGAGTGCTTCACTCCTGGACGGGCCATTGTGGCCCTCTCGGGTGTGAAATGCAATTTACCTGAAATAAAGCCCAATTATGGAATTAGCTAATTAAAGCCCGCGGTGGAGGCTGGGCTGGGCCGGCCGGGCGCTCCGTGCCCGCCCGGTGCCCGCGGTCTGCGGGAACAGATGGTGCCCCGGGCCGCCGTGCCGGCCGCATTCCTTCACTCTGTCCCCCGATAACTGACTTAGACAGCACACGGCCATCTGGTGTATGACACGTCCTGTGTGCCCCGGACAATGGCCCAGCAGACCTCTCCGGGAGAGGGCCGTCACCCGGGCAACGGTGGCAAGTGCAGCCCAGGCCGTGCACGCCCCCTCCCCCAGCCCCTTTGTGGGCCCCGCTGCGGCTGCCTGGTTCTCGCTGCTCACAGTATCCATGAGTATTTGTCAGCAGCGCCTGGCCTTAGGGCCCAACAGTCCTCAAATTGGGCCCCTTATTGAGGTGCTCGGTGTCCAATGGGTGCTAGGAGCATCTGCTGGGGTAACAGGGTGGGGGCGGCTGGGGGGTGCTGCCCTGCTGCCCACTTCCTGGGGCAGCCCTTCCTCTGCCCCAGACCCCCTCCCCGCCCCCCCGGGTGTGCCCTCAGGAGCCAGGCAGGTGGGTGGCACCTCACAGGCGCTGGGCTCAACCGTGGGGGCCAGTGCCTGAGGCCTGTGTCGGCCCAACCCGAGGCTCTCCCAGTCTTTGGGCCACGGGACGGGAGCAGAGAGGCAAAGCAGGACCTCACTCCTGCCACCTCGCATCTGTCAAATGGGAAGAGTAGCCGTGCCCCTCCAAAGGGTGTGCGGGAGGGGCTGATGGGAGATAAGACCTGGAGGCTCCAGGACCAGGTCTGGCACACAGTAGGTGCTTAATAAAGGCAGCCAGACAAGCAGCCTGGGAGATGCCTGGGGGCCGGATGCACCCCTCCTGCCCGGCTGGCATGAGCCCTCAGAGCAGCTTCCTGGACCCTCCCGCCTCCCACCCCAGGCCCCCGCTGAAAGCCAGAGCAAGCTGTCCTCAACCCCAGCCCGCTGCCCCGGTCCTGCGCCCAAGCTGGCCCTCGAGGCCCTGGGAGCAGCAGCCCTGCCCTCCCACCCCTGGCATTTCCCACCGGGAGCCCCCAAGTCTCTGGCCAGGCCAACCTCCCACTTCTTCCTGTGTCAGGTCCCAAGCCACCCGTGGGCATGGCAGCACCCACCTGGCCGGGGTCAGGAGCTGTGCCCACCAGCGGGCCACCAGACCAGAGGCTTTCCTGGGACTCTCAGATCACAAGGGGAGGCCAGCCCCCAGGAGCGCCCAGCGTGACTCAGGACATGCCAGTTAAATTAAGGGATAAGATGAGGATCTTGGAAAGGGGCTACTGGCACCACAGGGGGCTGCAGGCTCGCCTGGACACGGGCAGGGCACCGCCAGGCAGTGCCAGGTGATAGACGCGCGGGGGAGGGGAGTCCACCACCCAGTGCCTTGAGGAGGCGATTAGGCAGGTGTTTTGACTGGCGTGGCCAGACAGCTGGGGTGGGGGATGGGGTGGCAAAAGGCAGATGTGGCCGGGGCTCCTGGGACGGCCCCACACACAGCCCCAAGCTAGCATCCTCCTGGGGGCGTCTGCTGGGTCACCTGGAGGGACCGGAACCTCCCAGCATACAGCCAGTCTCTGGTTTGCGGGCGCTCCCCAGGTCACCGGAAACCTACCCGTTCCAATGCCCTGGTTTCATCCTGGGACCACCTCCAAGCCCTGGACCCCAGTGGTTCACTGGGGGGTCTGAAAGGGTGGCACCCCCTCTTGGCCCTGGCCCCATCCTTGCGGCCCCCAAGGCCCAGGGGTCGCTGGCAGCTGGGCCTGGAGCGTGCTCGTCCACAGAGCTGGACAAACAGAGCTCCAGTTTCCATTGACCTCGGAGTGCCAGGAGCCCGGGGCTAGGGCCCTCTGGATGGCGACAGCCCCCACCTGGGCCCTTTCCAAGCCATTGTCCTGCAGAGTGTTGGTGGGCGGGCAGAGTGGGCCCTGCCGCTGGGCAGCCCAGGAGCCCCCAGGC